ATTTAGTGCATTACTACCACTAGTATAAAAAAAGGTGGGTTAAGTGTCATCGACAGTCAACAGCGAAAAAAAAAAAGAATATTTGGGTAAGTACTTTATTTCTTGTTTTTCATGTTTATTCTTTACTTATTATTATAAAAGTAACTAAAATGTAAATATAGGGATCTCTTTAGGTTAGTTAAGGTTAGATTAGGTAAAATAAATAAATGATAATAATAATATAATTAAAATATTTTATGAGACACACATGCAAGCAGCTCGTGAGTAAGGTAATTCGATAGCATAAAGTCAGCTGCATGTTCCCCAAGTGATTTACAACTTATAATCGCACAAATAGTAGTTAGATATGGTTCAAAGAGCAATCAAAAGGGCAATAAAACAATAAAATTTAATTATAAATTGATGTATATTATTACGAGTTTAAAGCTACTTAGGATAAACAAATGTAGTTTCATGTTACATTTGAAGTCATTCTAAAAACCAAAAAAGGTAATTTCAATTTATTTATTTTTTGGGGGGAACTGGAGTTAATGCAGGAGGAGTGGAAAAATGAAGAAACAGTTCTTCTGCTATTACTTTAAGAGCTAAGAATCAGCTGCAAAAGGGTGCCACAGATGAGCAAGTCTGACCAACTGAGCCCCCAGAGGTCCAGAACCCAAGGGGTGGTCACCAACTTACTGATGTCTGAAAAAGCAATGATGGGCAATCTGCAAACTCGCAGCTGAAACATGGGAAGAAGGAACAACAAGTAGATGATGCTGGAGGACAAGACACAGGAATAGGAACAAGAGAGGATTGGGAAATATGAGAAACAATAAAGGAAATAGAGGAATGATGGTGCACAACCTTCATCTGAAATTCTAAAGTATCAGGGACATCTCCATAAACAGACTGGCACAAGAAAGGAGCCAGGCAAAGGTCATGCAGAAAAGAAGCAAGCAAATGCACACGTGACATCACTGCCAAAGAGATCCAACACCAAAGGAACCACACATGGAGGGACAAAGCTGATGAAGATAAAGGTGCCAATGTAGAGCAAAGAAGAGCAAGTGTATCTGCTGAGAACCCCTCAAGGGAATTGTAGATAGCTTCAGAAAGGAGGTGGATGGATGAAAGATAACAGGATAGTCATTAGGGTAAGACAAGAGAACTGGGCAGAGGAAAAGTGAAGGGTAGCAGAATATCAGAGCCCCATGCTTGAATCAGTGATTCCAAGGTCTGAGAATCAAGAAATGGAAACTCTGACCTGTGGTAAACCAAAGCATGCAAGTCCACCAAACATGGGCGTCTAGGTGTGCTGGTGTCCGTACGCAATTGGATAAGGAATATTCAGCATGGACATAAATATCTGAGGAGGAGGGGAAAAATCAATTAATTGGACATCAGGCTAGGATGAAGGAGAGAGGAGGAAGAATCATATGAAACAAGGGAAAGAGGCAAAAGGCAAACCTCAGAGATCATGTCCAGAAAGGCTAAGGAAGGATGAGGGAAATCCTGTGAGGTACACTGGAAAGGAGTCTCCAGAGCAGGAGGTGGAAAAAGGCTGTACAATTCTTCGTCTTCAGGAACAGATTCTCCAAGAAATGGAAGTTCTGAATGTCGTTCAGGAGATGTAACAGGCCACATATCGTCAAACTCTCAATGCACCAAGGCCAAGACCTCATCCGCCAAAAGTGTGGAGCCTGAAGTCACAGTATCATTAAGCGTGGCAGAATTCATACCAGAAATTGTAGTTCTTACATGAAACTGAGACGTGTGGAAAAAGAAAGAAAAACTTTCCACAAAAAAATATATGACAACAAACTGAAAGTTGTAAAAAAAAGTATCAAAAAGTGAACACAAAAACGAGATGTAATGAGCAAAAATTGTATACAATTGCACTTGTGATTGCCAAATTAAGAAGTGATGATAGTACTCTACAACATAGAGGAAGTCAGTTTGCATTAGCAGGATGTGTCTTACATCTACTGGTGGAGGGTTTTTGCATGCTCATATGCATGTTACAGCACAACTATATCGCATGTAAACACGTGAGGGTAGGTGGGAGCATCAAAGCTAATAGCGAGCAAAAATTGTGAACAGAGAGGGCAGCACAAATCAAGGGAAGCAATTATGTGAGAGGAGGTAGGGTATATCAGAAAATATCCTTACTTTCTCTCCCATATCAACAAGAGGGCAATACCTCAAATTGATATTATATTACTAACCGCTTTGAAAATGAGAAATGAAGACAAAAAAGAACATAAAAGTGATAGATGTTGCTTCCCACCAGCTTTGATAATGTGTCCAATTATCTGCAGAACTACATCAGAGTTAAAACAAATATGAACATAAAATCTTAGATAAAATATTTGAAGAAGGCTTTCTAAATACAGACAATAATTTCCCATTTGAGGATAGATCTTCCACCTTCTTGACCTCAATCAACAATGCAGAATTTCTGTACTACTTCAACAAAATGCAAAATGAAACTCCAACTAAATCATCAAAATCTAGTAAAACAGAGCAAAAACACAGAGTAAAGGTGGTATACCCACAATGCAGAATCACTCAGTCACATCAGGAAAATAGATACAGATTGGAAAATTCGTAGTACACTGGCACTTATGAACGTTTTGGCTGACATAATCAAACTGCATATTTGAATCTAAGACAGATATTATACAACATAGGAAACTACAGATTATTTAGACATTATGAATTTTGTGTTATGGAAAAAATGTTCCAGACAAAAATTAAAGATGTCCAAACAAAACATTCCATGAACTTTTTGAAGCACAACTAGCACAGCAATGAGCCTTATATCACATCTTTGAGCTGTATATATATAAATTTTAATTCAAAGTAAATATTTGACATTTAAATAAGTTTAATTATTTCTAAAAATGGACATTTGACAGTAACAAAACTATTTCTTGAATTATTTTTTAATTGCAAATGTGTAACATCAAAAAGTATCTTTGACTTACAATCAAATAAAGAAATCTTCAATACACAATTATTTTAACACATTACTCTTTCTTTCTTCATCTAATAGCTGACATATAATATGATAGAGATCAGATATTAATTTTCTTAAAAGAAAGTAATTAAAATGGATAAGCTTAAAACTATTCAAAAAACATTCTCAAACTGTCAGATGTACTTACAGAAAGCTTTTTTAAGTTTATGTTTTTGGTGTTTTGGGGTATTCTGTGGTCACTATAGATCCATCAAATGTGGTCATAACTGTTATTTTTATTAAAACACATTCTCTTACCTTGAAAGAGTTTTCTTACATGCACGTTGTTCATGTTTACAAACTCCAAATTGTGAAATAAGGCAGTAATTTTTTAACAAAATATGTCAGTAAATGAGTAATTCAAATCAAAATGTACATATGGAATCCAAGTACTCTCAACTTTAACTTCACTTGTGCCGTATCAATATCTACGACCAATATCTTAGTGCCAATAATAATGGAAGTGATTGGTGTTACCTTAAACCACATTGTAATCTCCCAGGCCAAATTTTTAACAGGAACTATTAAGACTAAAAATCTTAACTTTTTGATATACAAGTAGTAGTACCAGTAGTTGTTTTTTTAAAGTCCCTATTCAAGTTTTCTCCTTAATTCTCAGAGGGGAACAAGCTTCCATCCTTCATAAAAAGCAGGAATACCCCATTAGACTGAAATGTACTCAATTGTATATCAAAATTATTATTAAAAAGCAAAGAGCTCTCATAATCTAAGTCTGATAAGCCTAACACTAGTGGTAGTAGTAGTGGTGGTAATTAGTAAATACTAAATTTTACAATTATTAATAGTATTAATACATAATAATAATAACATACAGTAATAACATAACATGTCTTGGGACAACAAAGGACCTATTTGTCTATCTCGGCTGTCCAATCCTCTGAATTAAACTAAAACTATTAAGTAAATAAGTTAAAAACAAATTTAATGCCAGCCCTTATCATTTATATAGTTATCAAGCTTTCTCTTAAATGCACTTGAATTTCTGCCTCCACAACATCTGAAGGCAACCCATTCCAAAGGCCAACCACCCTGTTAGAAAAATAAAACTGTCTTCGCTGAAGATGACTCCCACCCAGCCAATATTTATATTTGTGTCCCCTAGCCCTACTATTCCCACTGTAAGTATAAAAAAAAAAGATGATGCATCAAAACTATTAATTCCCTTTACAATCTCAAACACATCAATCAGAACTCTTCTTTTTTCAAGAGAAAACAATTTGAGAGATCTAAACTTTTCCATCCTAGGCACATTCTACTAACCCTCCTCTGAAACTCTTTCAATGTCCTTCCTACGGTAAGGAGCCCAAGACTAAACACAATACTCCAAATGTTGTCTAACCAGTGACCTATACAATGAAATTATAACCTCTTTAAACTCTGATTCAATACTTCTGTAAATACAACCTAAAATCCTACTTATACCAATAGCAACAGCACACTCCTTGGATGGCTTAAGAAACTGATCAATCATTACATAAAGATCCCTTTCCTCCATAACACTGTTAAGGTTATTCCCATCCAAATTATACTTATAATTCAAATTGAGATAACCTACATGCATTACCTTGCATTTATTATAATTAAAACCCATTTACCATTTACTTGCCCAATCACTAAATGATCTAAATCCTTTGTAAATCAGCAGCATCCTCTTCACAGCTAGAAACACCCAAGATCTTAATATCAATCCTGGTTGTTCCATCCTCTAATGCAGTCATCTTGTTTCCATTTTTTAACATTCTACAAGTAAAACTGTCAGATATACTTAAGTTATATTATTATTAATGTTATTGAAAGCTTTACAAATTTATGTTTTTGGTATTTGGGGGTATTTCTAAGGCCAATCTATGGACACAACCAAAAGTGATCACAATATACGAATTTGTGCATCTGGAAGATGTACACTTGATTATATTAGTAGACAATATCAAAATCAAATAATTATTAGCAAAAAAATCAACGTGTTGTTTATACCTACCTCACAAGATCATCATCCCTAACCAGAAAGATAGTTTCATCAGAAGGTAGTAAATAATGTTTCACATAAAGTTGAAGTTTATGTTGAGGATTTAGCTGAAACCTCCGTATTATTAGATTTTCAAAATCTGACACTCTTTTCACAATTGAAATATCCACAGACAACCAACAGAAAGAACTTAAACTATTAATTTCTGTTGCTGAAAGATCTACTCTAACCCTCATTATGTTACTACAGTTTGCCATTGTGAACTTTATACGATGAAATATTAACCCTAGACAAGCCGGACTCCTAGTTCTTGTATTGAGAGCCCATGAAGAGACGACACCTGTTATAACTAGCTATAACTATTCTGAGCAGAATATCATAACAGTTTTAGAACTAATATAATGAACCGTTAAGTATAAAAATATTTATCAATTATGGTGGTCATTTCAATACAAACAGATTCAGATATGGTTAAAGCATTCTTTCGCGTATCACTTTGTAAATCACATATCAATGAACGTCAAATCTTTCATCGCTTTTCAAATTTTAATAATAAACTAAGAAATTTATGTTTTCTTTTGGCATTGTTAACAGAATGAGTTTAAAAAGAAAATTATACATTCGGACTTGACAAAGAAGAGAAAGCGACCCGTAGTTAAGTCATGTATATTTAATATTGGTTTATACTTTAATCAGTAGGGAAATAATTGAAAAAATATAACATGTGGACATCAATAAACCATTTGATCCTCAAAGTCTGTCCTTCGCACCCACCCTTAAGAAAAGTAAAAATTCGAATGCAACTTTTATTTGTCGTGAATTAAAGCACAATTTCCTCTCTTTGACTCCGACAGCAACTCATTCCATAAGTCAATTACCCTGTTAGAAAAAATAAACTTGTCTTAACTATTGTCCTATTATCTTCAGAATATAGCATAAATGAAATTAGGGGTATTTATCCTATCGATCCCCCGGATAATCTTGTAAACTTCAGAGCAAATAAGTTAGATCTAAATTTATTCCTATTAGATAACCATTTCATACCCGGAACCATCCCAGTGGCCGTCTTTTGAACCATTTATAATGTGTCAATATCCTTTTTTAGATGAGTTAAGAGAACAAAACTATACACAATATTCCATGTGAGGCCTCACTAATGATTTGTGTAGAGAGATAATTACAACTTATGATTCGCAATCAATATGTGTATAAATACATCCTACAATTCTGGGAGCTTTAATTATTACCGTGGTATATGAATATATCATGCGCTTTCATCTTATTGTATTGTTATATTATTTATTCTAAACTTATAATTTATTCTGTATATTCAGGTTTGACATAACACGTGGCCGAGAAAACAGTTAAGTCCATTTCGCTCTAGCTGCCTTTGTTCCTTTTATATTCTCGAGTAGGTAATGCCTGTTATTCCGCTGGGTGGATTTTTACAGTACTACATGTTGTGCAAGAATTTTGACAGCAGTGTCCTTCAATGGTGATATTTTAAGGTTACGGCCTCACTTATGTTTGAATAAGCTGTCACGTGGATAGCTCTAGGTGTGCTTAGTAAATACAAAGTTTGTTGCCAAGT